ACCTCAGCTCTGTCTCTGTCCTGGGTAACCAGTTCTTGCGTTTCCTTCCGGAGAGAGCCCACAGTTTCCCTAGTCTTTCTTTTCTTGCTGACATACTTAAAGAAGGATTTTTTGTTTGTGTTAATGTCCCTGGCCAAATTGAGTTCTGTCTGTGCTTTAGCTTGTCTGACTTGATCCCTGGCTGCTCGAACGATTCCTCTGTATTCCTCCCAGGCTACCCGCCCTTGTTTCCACTCCCTATAGGCCTCCTTTTTTCTTTTTATCATCTCCAGGAGCTCCTTGTTCATCCATGCAGGCCTCTTGGCTTTTCTGCCTGCCTTCCTCTTTGTAGGGATGCATCGCTCCTGAGCTTGGAGGAGGTGGTTCTTGAATATTGACCAACTTTCTTGGGCCCCTCTTCCCTCCAACACTTCATCCCATGGCACTATACCAAGCAGCTTCTTCATGACGCCAAAGTCAGCTCTCCCAAAGTCCAGGGTGGTCAGCCTGCTGTGCACTTTCCTCGCTGCCTCGAGTATCTCGAACTCAACCATTTAATGGTCACTACAGCCCAGGCTGCCCTTGAGTTTGACACTGTCTACCAGCCCCTCCTTGTTGGTAAGAACAAGGTCCAGCATAGCTCCTTTCCTCGTTGGTTCCTCAACCACTTGGAGAAGGAAGTTGTCCTCAATGCAATCCAAGAACCTCCTGGATTGCCTATGCCTGGCCATGTTACCCTTCCAACAGATGTCAGGGTGGTTGAAGTCACCCATGAGAACCAGGGTCTGTGAACGTGATGCTGCCCCTATCTGAATATAGAGGGCTTCATCCATTCGGTCCTCTTGGTTGGGTGGCCTGTAGCAGACTCCCACTATAATGTCCCCTGCTCCCGATTTCCCTTTAATCCGGACCCATAGGCTCTCAGTTGGCTCTTTATCCATCCCTAGGCTGAGCTCCATGCATTCCAGCTGCTCGTTAACATATAAGGCAACACCGCCTCCTCATTTCCCTTGCCTGTCTCTCCTGACGAGCCTGTAGCCTTCCATGGCAGCACTCCAGTCATAGGAGTCATCCCACCAAGTTTCCACAATACCAATGAGATCATAGCCTTGGAGGTATGTGCACATCTCTAGGTCCTCCTGTTTGTTCCCCATGCTCCGTGCATTGGCACAGAGGCACTTCAGCCGTACCTTCGTTGAGGCTGACTTGGCTGGAGCAGCTGTAATTATTTTGTGCTGCTCTCCAGGCAGCAGTCCTTTGCCCGATATTAATGGCACCTCCCCACTGGCTCCTGTTTGTCCAGGAGCTCCTGAGCATGCTGCAGTATAGCCAGCACATGG